ACATTTCTACAGAAAAACGTTGTAATTTTCTCTTATTTTGTATTGCATTTAAGGAAATAAGGCGGGCCATTACATGTTACAGTACTGACAATTAGCTGGTGAACTGAACGAGTATCTTAAGCTCCCAGGATAAATTCCTCCACAATCAGTTTATTTAGAGAAGAAAAAAAACAGTCTGTTTCCTGATACAGTAGTTTCTGATTGGCTTAAGAATGACTTTGATTAGAAAACTATGCAGGTCAGCACACAGTGTGTGACCTTTGAACTGTTGTCGGCTGGCCGTAATGACATCATGTTTACTCACTCTCTTTTTTCCTTCCTCTAAACGCGCTTGTGACACTCCTCGTTTATTTACTATCGGAGATCATGTGAGATTGGCCTTTATAGGATTGTTGGTTTTGAATATTACAGGAGAGTCACATGAACATACATATGCTGAGGTGGCATCACGCAAAGCTACCATAGCTAACTTCAACCACACTTTTAGGTAGAAAAAAAACCCTTAAACTCACAAAAAAATAAAAAGATTAGGAAATTTACTTTCAGTCACTATTTTAACTTTTTTAATAAAAAAACCTTTTACTCTCTTCGTGTCAGCACAGCAGATCCATTCTTTATAATCTGATGAAATAATGTACTATAAATCAATACAAAAGTAAGAATTCTAAATGATGACTGCAAAACAGAAACGTCATTCAAACAAGCTGAATACAAATAAAAATGACAGCTAAAAACCAGAAGGAAGTTTGAGGCATGCTGGTATAGATTTACCTTGTTAGTGATAGTGAGAGTCTCTCCTTCTTTCACCGTCAACTCGTTGTTTCCGACCTCAGCAGAGAAGTCATATAAAACTTGTGCCTGAACACAATCAAGAAAAAAACATGCAATACTTAATAATAATTGATGAACATATATTTTCATGTACACACAAACTCACCTTATACCACCCTCTGGATATTAACTCTTGCAGTTAAATTAGGACAGGGAGACATGCCAAACAAGTTTTTCTAGGCGTGTTATGATGATTCTTAACACCAGTATGAGCCAAAAATAAGGTCAGAACCATCACATTACCTTCAGTTAACACATGCCTCCCACATTGGGGGGGGGGGGTAAAACTGTGCATAGTATTCTAAATATGACTTGGTTTTTCCGCATCTTAGTTGATTTTTAAGTAACCCTACTCATATTAATTTTTTTATTTTAATGAATTTTGATTGTCGGTCCATATACCTCTACGCTGTAGTTCACATACACAAACTGTAGTTTTGAGTATAGACATTTTGGGTGAATATATTAAATTTTCGAAAGATTGTTTGTATATTTATAGATCCTGGAGACTAGACTCGTATTTTTCTTTATTTAATTTAAATGTTTTGTTTGTAGTGGGATGCTTATGTTTAGTTGGTAGGAATCTAGTAACACAAACACAAAGATGTAATCTCAGACCCACCCACCGATTTACTGTATTATAACAGCAATAACAACAACATGCCTACTCATATTAGTTAGGAAAATGTATTGATACTCCTAAAACTAACTTTATTATGTTTAATACACTGCAATTAATGGTAAAGAAGATCAAATATCACTGAATACCGCACTGAATGAACGTAGACATACAGACCCTAAAGACAACATTTCCCAGCATTCCACGGGGCAAGAAATGACCCGCACTGGAAAGGTAGTAAAATGTCACAAGACACTTTCTTTAATGAGGCACATTTTCCATGTAGTATAGCAAAAACATTTGTATCACATTTACTGCATACAGATGTGTCGTAAGTGTTCATTACATGATACTTCACCAAAGTATTGACTCTTTATAGCTTATCGAGTGAAGTGTACACTGTAAACCCAATGCGAGAAACTACAACTCTGTGCTTCAACAAGTCCACACAGCCCGCATTATTCGCAAAAATACAGCTGTCAGGGGAAGCTTGGGCAGACAATACACCCGGGTTGACATTTAAACTGCCCAGAAAAGTTGTCAGACGTACCTTAAGCGCCATTGTCGAAGCATTGATCAATCATTACAAAACAGGCCCTGCGGTTTTCAGGTTTTCCAATCCTCAGCTGGACATTTCCCCCCGCTGCTTTTCAACCAAAGGAGACGAAACGGTATTTCCTCCCGGTGAATATCCGCCGCAAAACACAGACTTCAACACATTACTAAAAACTGTTTGTTGATTAAAAACTCAAAAATCCTTGAAAAGGCGGAAGGAAAGCACCAGTTAGTGTAGCTTCAAGTTTGAAGCGCGCACAGAGCTGCTGACAGTGCGGAGGGAGTGACCTGCAGCACCGAGAGAAACCGGAAAGGTAGGGTCGCTCCGTCCGACATGGCCCTCCAAGACATGACTACAACATTTAGTTTTCAAATAGAAAATACAACCACAAATAAAATACATAAGTAATAAAGAAAACACGATAACTAAATAATATGCATTGAAAATGGTTGATGTTAAAATCACAAAAAATCAACTTAAAAAATAAGAATAACACAAATGAATAGGACCTATTGTTTATTATAATAATAATAATAATTATTATTATTATTATTATTATTATTATAATTGTCATTAATTAGCCTATAGCTATAGCCAAATGATTCCAGCTAAATGTTTTACTTAACATTTGTTATTGTAATTTCTTTACACAGTCCTTTTATTAGTTCATTATTTTCCAAGATATTTCAACAATGTCCATACTTTCTGACTACATTAGGTTAAATTGATTTTTTTCTGAGTCCAAGAAATGGTCCCAGTGGTATTTTTGTAATCTTAAAACAGCAACTAGTGAGTTTTCTGACATTGTTGTTGACAGATCACAGCTGGCTCACAGGCTCAAAGGGAGGGACCCTGAACTCATTTATTGTGCTGCAGTCGGCCTCTGCTGGCCTCAATGTGCTATTACATTTCAAGCAGGGTCTCCCAATGACTTCACTGTGGTCAGGATCAGAAAGGCCCACATAGCCTTTTGTACATGCATCTATACTGTTCAAAGTGTTGGACCTCACATTGAAAGACGAAGCAACAATAGCAGTGAAATGTTCTCTGTTTATTCGGTGCAGCTCACATGTTTATATCTCTTTGCTGTATACTGCAAAAATTTAAAAGGCTTGATTGTTTAGAAAAATACTTCATGAAAGAAAAAACAAGAAGTGAGGATACCCGGCCCGAAGGAAGCCCGGGGTCCCCTTCTGGAGCCAGGCCCAGAAGGAGGACTCTTCGGCAAGCGTC